TGTGTGTGTGTGTGTGTGTGTGTGTGTGTGTGTGTGTGTGTGTGTGTGTGTGTGGTGGGGAAGCATGCTCACTGAAAAAACTATTAAAGGATATATTTCAGGGAAAAGAAAAATGAACCCAGAGAGAAGATACGAAGGAAAAAAATCCACACTACCAAAAAGATAAGGATCTTTTCCATGTGTGCGAAAAGATAATAAACGAACAAACAAAACACAGGCACACCTCATTTTATTGCGCTTCACCTTATTGTGCCTCACAAGATGTGTATTTTACAAAATGAAGGCAAGGCCCTCCACCAGCAAAAAGATTACAACTCGTTTTATTGAGATACTTGCTCCCTTCTTACAGTGGTCTGGAATCAAACCTGCAGTATCTCAAGGTGTGTCTGTAACGTCAGATTGTAGAAGTTGCTCTGATTCAAGGTGATCTATCAGAACCTGGAGGGGAAGGGGCCCTATGTTGCACAGGGCAAGGTTTCTTTCTCAACAGCAGCACAACTGACAGTTGGGCCCGGACAATTCTGTGATGGGGAGCCGTCCTGTGCACTGTGGGCTGCGCGCAGCATCCCTGGTCTGCACCTACCAGAGGCCTGTAGCACCTACCCAGCTGTAACAACTGAAATGTCTCCATACGTTGCCAAAGACTTTAAGGAGCAGAACTGTCCCAGCTGAGAACTACTAGTTCTCACTACTCGGGAGACCCTTCAGGGGTGGTGGGAGAGGTGGACGAATGAAGGCAGGTGCGAAAAGTGTTACTTCTCGGCGCGCTACGGGCAGGGAGGCCATCGGCGGCCTCGAGGACCACCTTGGCCGTATGTAGCGCACACAGCGGCTCAGAAACGTTAGTTCCCCGCACAGCGCGGCCGCCTGCCCCGCAGCTCCATCCCCGGGGTGAGCGGAGGTCCCCAGCCTTCCCTCTCCGACACCCTGAGCAGGCCGGAGTCCCCACGTCGCACTGGGCCCAGCTTCCCTCCCTGCACGCCGGTCGGCGTTTCCAGTGGCCGAGCTCGTGCCAGGCCCGGGAGGGCCGTCGGTGACCCGGAATTGGGTGTCCCCGACCGCCCCCTCGGGTCTCCTCCGGCCCTGCAGCCGCCTCACCCCTCTCGAAATCCATCTCGTCCAGCGTCTGCCGTGCGCCTGAGTGGTTGCAGCAGGGGCCGTCTGCACAGAGCCCGGGAGCCGCCATGTCGGCCTCCGCACCGCCCGGCCGCCCGCAGGACCCGACCAGCCGGCG